AAGCACACATTAAATTTAATATTATTGCAAACAAAAATAACACTAAATAAAAAGTTAGGGGAATGATAATAGATTAATAGAAAACCAACTTTGGTTAGTGAATGGTTGAGCATGCATTTTTTGTGTTAAATGTTCATAAAACAAAGTGTATGGTTATGAGGCAAGATAAATTTAGGGAAGATGTAGAATTACGGAAATCAATTGCGTTTAATGGTGAAATTTTGAAACGGGTTAGAACTTACAAGTATATTGCTGTTATTACTGATAACCTTGTATGTTTTAAATATCGTATCCAATACTTAAGAACAAAATAGCCAAGAAACTTTATTTCTAATATGAATTGAGGAACGTTATTTCATGACCATTTGAACTGCTAAAGAATTGTTTTTTGATTCTCCTGATTTTGTTATTTGAAGAACTGTTAAAGTGATTGTTATAAATTGTTTGTTAATAATTGTTAAAATTATGTTAGCAAAATTTGATGTAATTTAAATTAGCCAAGGGCTATTTGTAAATAAATAATATTCATTATCCTAATAATATGAAACCATTTGAAAAAGAATCGTGCCAATATTTCATTTCACTTAACCGTTGAGGATCACTTGGAAAACAGTCTTGTCTTTTCCGCATCTCTCCGGCTATGGAAATTTGGAGCCCAACAACGCCTATATTTGGTCATTTTTCTTCAAAATTACCAAATTAACTCATGAGCAAAAGTGCATCAAAAGCGACCACCGAGAGAAACTGATATATAACTGTACTTTGCTGTATTATATTTTTGGTGAAACTTCGATAATTCGCTCACACTTTTAATTTTTCAAATTAGTTCGCAAAAATGTCTCTAGATCGCTACTTACCACGGTGGGTGATAATGGCGGACTTCCCCCCCTCTCTACGTCAATCCCCCACTCTGGTCGACCCCATCACTACTTTCAAATAATGACGCCCCCCTCTGGGGGGGGCATGGCCACCATGATTCTCCCCCCCCCTCCCGGATCAACAAGTGGGAAGGAACAAAAGAAGAAAAAGCTTTAGAAATTCTGCTCAGAGTGAACGGAAATATTAATATCACGTGTGTCATAATCCCACTTACCACTTTTATGCATAAAACAGAAACCTCTCTAAACGGCTTTTTTCGTTTTTTCGATCGATCCCTTCGTATATTTTATTGTATCTACTCATAAACCATTTCCACCGTGTCATGAACGTTTTGTAGACAAATTTCATTTTCGATTATATTCCTTCATGTGAGCACTCTGACGGATATTGTCCGTCAGTTCATACCATGGATTTGCCATGCCATGGACCATAATCTATGGCTTTACTAGGATTTATTTACACGTGCATTTGAAATAAATCATCTGTTCACAGTTTCATCCCATCGGGAGCTTGAACATTCCCATAAAGATGTCACTAGCAACGTTAATGTTTCCGATTGGATGAAACCGCAACAGCTGATTTACTTCAAATACGCGGTTAAATAAATCCTGAATAAATTTTCCCTGTCGTAATTTATCCATTTTAGTATTATCGTAAATAATTTTATATTATATAATTTCAATATTCAATTTTACAGCCTGATTATGGGAACAACAATCCCCGAAACCGTTGCACAATTATGAAATAAATTGATGTTACAAAAATTCGTCTGTGAAAAATATGAACCCTAACCCTTCACAAAATTATAATTAATTGAGACATACTAAAAAGTGGGGAAAATAGTAAATAAATCTTAGTTATACTTGTTATAGATTGTAGTTCCATTAGTTCATTGGCTTATAATACGCGCATGCGTACGAAAAATGTGCGCGTGCGTGGGTGCCTGAATGTTTACATAATAAACTTTACAAGGTTACAAGTGTACTGCAAGTCTCCGAGCGGTGACAAGTTGTATTGAAGGTTATCATCATGACATGTTTCATTAATGTATTGCAGACTTATTTGGGGTCACATTTAGAACTGGATGTTGATACATAAAATCAAGACGAACGTCATACAGAACAATATAAAGATACATAACATGTGTGAAGACATAACATGTAAGAAGTGTTCGACTCATGTTTCCATAAAAATTCGAACTATCCCAGTGGCATTGTGTGTAATTGGTATAATACGGTCATTTTTGGAAGACGATCCATGTGTCAATATTATACATCGAATCCAATGAATGAAGACACAGCAAGCCTCGGTTTAAGTGCGATGCTTGGTTCTCTTCCACCTCACGTCGAGGGGAAAGTGAATGGGTATTTGAGTATGACAGTTGACAGTTTCAGGTGGCGGTGTAATCTTAATGGAAAAGTCCATATTCGTGTCTCTTGGTGGGGAGAGAAACAAAAAATATTGTTGTTGTAAGTACTGCTTAATGTATTGGTATATCAATGTTGTGTGTGTGTGTTGTAATACCTATTAAATTCTGTTTTGCAGACCCCAAGTTACAGATGGTTCTGATAAAAGTCATGTTTCATTCAAGAATACACGTGTTTATAGAGTTATGACAAACACTGAATTATTTCTATCTTATTTACAAGATTGTGAAGTGTTGAATTTTGAAGTGTATGAACAAGGAGTTGATTGCCTAATGGGCACTGCAACTTTGAAGCACTTAATGTCAGTAGTTCTGAATAATCCATGGACAGAATCTTGTGTTGTTAGTGACAAAAATGGGACTGAAATTGCAGATTTAAGAATTTCATTTGTGTTTCATCAAAATGAATTAACATTTGGAACAAGTGATATTAAAAATAAATCTGAAAGAGAAAGAACGTTTGAGAGAATTCTTGGTTGTGAGATTGATGAAACATTGAATAGCGCTAGAAGAAACAGCAAATATACAGATGGAAAATCTTGCGACAGTGACCCATGTCCGAAAAGTTTGACAGAGTCTAGAATGGAATCTATGGAAAAAGTTGCAGGAAACAATAATACGATTGAAAATGCTGATGTTGTGAGTAATTCCACAATATCAGAATTATTAGAACGTTGCTACAATATCCGACAAGAATATCATGGTAATGGAAGAAGATGCATGCAATATTCTAAGAACAATGTTGGAAGGAGTCTTGAATCTTCTGAACTAAAAATAAGAGGTACAATTTTGATTAATTTCCTCATTTTAAATATATTGACTGCAGCTGTTCTTTCATCTAACATGTTTTATATTCAGGGAAAAGTATTATCAGAGATGAAGAGCTTGCAGCATTCGAAACTGTCAAATTCCACTCTCCAATGCAAGAGTTTATCCAACTGGCTGAAAGTTCTCATCAAAATTTTGAAAGAAATGTCAGTTTAAATTACTAAAAAGGTGTTAATAAATTCAAAGTGCAAGTTATTTTTCTTACTCATTTGTTAATAAATCAATTTGTTTTTATCAAAGGTTAAATGTGGCAATTCATCACATGTTAAAATCCCCCAAGATCAGCTTAATGTATCATTTCAAAAAGTATTGTTCCAAAGTGAATCTGGGGATTTTAACGTGTTTGAGAAGCAAAGAAAAGACTCTCGAAATGAAGAGAAAAAGAAAGGAACAGGAAAGCATTCAAATGGTGTGTTTTTTTGTTTTCTTTTAAATTTATATAAAAGTACTCATCCTTTTCAAATATTGAAAAATGGTTAAAGTAGGGTACACAGTACATCCTTAGAGAGGAGGCGGGAGGAGGTGTCTCCTTAAACTCTTCAAATTACGTTAAGCACTCCGATAGAAATTATTAAAACCAATAGGCGATTTTTATTGCTCATAAAGTTTGGAGGCACCCTCAAGGAACAACAAATCCTCGCAGTTGGATTTTTGCTCCTTTGAAGGCGTCTCAACAAATTCAACCAGGTAGCTGTCAAACTGGCCATCCGCAAAGCACCGCAGCAGACTAGGGTAATTCAATTACTAGTTACTTAAAATTACTCTTACATTTTCACACAGGACACATAAATCCTGCAGCAAACAAACCACATTCTTGTACCCATTCAATTATTGCCAAACACCTTCTTCAGCGCAGATCATAAAACAAGAACCCACATTTATTTTCCCCATCATAGCACAGACACTTGACACTGAAAAACACCAATCACAAAGAATATGAAGAACGCAAAAAATGTAACTGTATGACAGTAATGTAACCACTAACCATTTTGACAGCTACATGAACACCGAAAATCTCATTGGCAGACACCACCACACACTATTTCTTAATGAAGCTCCGATAAAAACTAGGGTGAAATTGCCCCCTTCCACCCCACCTCCCAACTTTGACATCATGTTAGTGACCAATTATGAACCATTAAAATTATTTCAGAAGTATATTTTTTACAATTTATTTAAATCACCCATGCTTTACATTTTATATGTATGCACTAAGTTATGTATATTGCTCACCACCTCTCCTCACAAAAAGGTTCCCCTCATAATCCCCTAAACACCCATCATCCCCTCCGTTGGGGATTTCCCCCTTGCTGGAGCAGTGCAATATGCCAGTTTAAACAATTTCCTTAAGTTGTACCATGTACTAGACTTCAGCGTGAAAAATTGAAGGGAAATGAGAATAACATCTAAAAATTTTCATCAGTTCAAAATCATGTCAGTTGTACTTACACTGGTAAGTCATTTGACATGATCATAAATTAATACACTTTATTGATTTTAAAACATTTTTGGTAGGGAAAAAGTCTCCATTTTTTAACAAGCGCAGTATATGATAATCTAGTTTACTAATATCATATAATGTAGATGTCATGTAATAATGTAATGTTATTCAGATGGTCCTCTTTTAACATTGATACGCTTTATGGTTTCAAAATAGGAATTCATTAGATGGAGAGAAATACGATTTAAAGCCCAATAAACATTAATTTACTATTAGTTTTATTATATTTTTTTTTCTGTGTGTTAAATTTGTACATATTAGAAATAGGTTTGAGAAAAAAGTGAGGGCTTACAGCTGTCAATCAGCAATGCAAGCGATATTTTAACTGTTTGCCAGTGGAATGTTTAAACCCTTACAAAAATTATTCCTTTCCGTGGTATTCAATTTAACTTCTCTTGTTTCTTAATTTTTCTGCTGAGAATGTAGGTTCTTTTGACATTATGGTGCTCTATCACAACTCTACTACTTCAATCAAATCTGTTTTAAAATTCATGCATTGCAGTTAATGGAAGAAAATTATTTCCTACCTGATCCTCAGAATTGAAATGTCTTCACCAAATTTTTGGAATATGTTCTATGAAGTCTAGAAAACAAAATTCAAAAATTTGTGAGAAAAGGGCATTTAAACATTCATACGTATTTTTAGGACACTGTCTCAGTTCAGTATTCAAAATTCTCTACCCTCCCTGTAAGTTACATGTTACAAGAAAGAAATTCATTGTAACTATTTGTGCCATTAATTTTTTTATCACATCTAACTATTGTATTATTCCATATTCATTGATATTACTTTTCAATATTATTTAAGTTATATTTGCAGTTATTTTAGTTTCTTTGAATTCTTGTTTACCAACCAATGTGTGTTTAGGGGAGGTAATTTTAGGAGATTGCAGAATATGTATTGATATTTGCATTACATGTATTTCTTGAACTTCTTTTTCAACTGCTTTAGAACTGAACAACATAAGATTTCTTCGACTAAGTATACAAACTTTATCATTAAACTATGTGGGACTGCAGAGGGTTCTTGTGTTATCAAGAGCCCTTTCTTCAAGCACACATGTACGTAATATTACGTATGAACAACAGTTACCCTCAGGGATTGTGTATTTTGTTGAATATGAAATCCCACAGTATTTGAGAGTGCATTCAAATAATCTGCAGAAGATAAAAAGACCTTGGAACTGTAATGTTTACAGACTGTGCTCTCGACAAAAATCTGGCACATGTGAGTGAAATACATCAGTCATTGATGCATTTGAATTATTACATTGAATTTATCAGAAAAAAAAAGAAAAATGTTACTAAATAGCAACCAACATTTGTTTAAAAATTTTTTAGGTATTCATTTCCACAGACAGATGATTCACATGCTGGCTTCACAAAAACCTAGATTCATGGAACTGCTTTGCAGCTCAACAATTACATTTAAGCTGTATTCTCGACATGTGAGTCAGAGACTTCCATGCCTTTTAGGAAAAGCCTCCCTGTCTCTTGGAAATGTGATTAAGAAGTGTGCTTTCAATGCTCTCCTGGAACTAACAATACATCCTGAGTCTAATAGCAATCCAAGTTGTATGCTATCATTGGGAATTTTAAAATTGAAAGTAGAATTTGGTGCAAATCGAACTTGTTTTAACCAAAAACCTGTTTCTTCCATTGATTGTCGTTCATTACAAAGGTATTTTAATTTTTATATTAATTCTGAAAGTTGCTAAATTATTAACATTAAAGAAATGATGCTGAAATTTAAAAATGAAGAAATATTAGGGGAAAGTATTTCTTTCAGTGTTTGTTAAAATAGTAAGATTGTGAGTTTTATAAGGATTAACTCTTCTAAAACTTCCTGAAATTATTTTTTACTAATCAGATTTGAAACAGTTTAAAATCTTTTTTGAAGATCTGAATGTCGTGACTTCCATGAGAAATGTTTATTTGGTTATGTACATTCATTTAAATAGAGTTATGAAAATTAGATATTAAAATGTAAGTGCAGAAATATATGAAATACAATTGTAAATATAGAGGTTGCTTGATGTACTACCTGGCCAAATGTTTTCAATATCTGAAAAATATATGAGTATATTATTGTATTTAAAGTGAATTTATTATTTTGTAGCTCATCAGAAAGTGAGTATGATTGCAGGAATACAGATTCTTGCACAATGAAGATACCCTCAAAAGGTTCTGCCAATAAACAAAGTAGACCAAATGAAAAAATGATTTGCAATGCACATGCTAAGTGCTCAAAGTATACTTCTCAAGAAAATATTACTAAAAACTCGCATGAAGTAGGCTGTAAGACATCCAGAAAGTGCAGTGGTGAAAAAGAAGTGTGTATACTATGTTGTTATTGTTTGTTTGTTTAGGAATTGTAAAATGTTCTTTGTTGATAATCCCTAGGTACCAAGAATAATCCGTAATGTAAGGGTTATTGTCTTGCTTACAGATCTTACTATTTGGACTGCTTCATGTTTCAAGTGGTCTGGGTTTTAAGTCTTCTAGTTTATATCTTATTTCCCATGGCTTTTGGAAGGAAGATGTAATGACAAGTAAAGTTTGTTTGCAAACCAGTAATCCCAATTTCAAATTTCATAAAGTAATATTTATTTTTTTCTTATTCTTGCTGGTGAGAAATATCTTTTTCATTCAGGCAAGTTTTTGTCTGTATAATTACTTTTTGTGTGCTAGATAATGCCTGTGTTGCTGTCGTTGGAATTGATAGATCGATGTTACAATAATTTTATGGTAGTTGAAGTATGGTCTCTGAGTGGTTTGGTGGGTATTGCAAAACTACCATTGAATCAATTCTATATTGCTTTTCGTGATCCTCCTGTTGTTGAACAGCTTCTGATGACAAAGGTGATAATATATTTAAATCACTAACATTTAAAAACCTTGTAAAAAAGAAAGTATTTTTACCAATGGTTTTTCTTATTAGTATCCTATTATCAGCGTAGATGGTTGGGTAGATGTTGTTGACCCTGTATCACAACACCAAGTTGGAAAGTTGAAGGTGGTGCTGGCTTTGGGAACAGAAAATCAAATTCAAATGCTTGAAATGACTCGCTGTATGAAAGAGGGCATTTTAAATCCTCAAACTGTTTCACAACCTGTAACTGCCGAGTTGGATCCTATTACTTCAAGGTCTGTACATGGCAGTCTGTGAAATATCTTAGATTTAGTCATACTTTTTCTAATCTTGTTTTCTTCTTCAGATCAACTACCCCAATAAATAGTTCTGCTGAACAGGAACCTGCTTCAAAAGTAACGTCTGGAGAATGTTTTCAAAATGGAAGAAATTGTAATTACTCTGCAGATAAGCATTTGCAAGTGATCAAAGGCATAATCTCAAGAGAGTCTTTGTTAGCTTGTGGTGACTATTCAAATGAGTACCTACAAAAATTAATTCATGAAGAAAGTGATCAAAATGAACATTTTGTTGAAAGAAAGAGTTCCTCATTACAGTCATCTCAAAACTCTCATGTTTTCAGGGCTAGAAGTTTCCATACAGCTTTCAGTGGATCTTCAGTTAATGATTGCTCAGGAGTGGTGGATTTTCCTGAAACTTCTCTTGTAGAAGAAATTGTGCCTGCTGTTGTCAGAGCTCATTCTAATTTTGATCCGTTTGATGTATCAAAGGGAAATCCTTCCTTAAGAACTAACTTATCTTCAACTCGGGGGCCTAAATGTGTTTCACAGTCAGGAATAAAAACCGTACCAAAACTTAATTCAGACATCAAAGTTAAAAATGGGTTACAGTTAAGTTTTGTTGAAACAGACCAGAACTCAAAAAGTGTTGCGAATGTTTTTGGAGAGGATGTAAGTTCTCACTTGAATGAAGAGATAGACACAACCAAAAGGAAATGCGGCAGTGTATCAACTGATAATACTGTAGATGCTTTAAGTACAGATGAACTGTCCATCAGTAACAATATTTTTGATTCAACTCCTCACCATAATGTTGAAGAAGATTCATCTTTTATTGGAAAATCAATAACTGTTCTAGAAGAAACCTCGATAAATGAAAATGACTCCAAGTATAAATATGTTGAGAATTCGCCTAATGACTCAAAAAATGAGTATGTGGAAGATAGATTGTATAATGGTTTAAATAAAACTCTTACTGTAGAAGACTTGAATAATATTTCAAAAGACAATATTGATTTTGGTGATAGAGAACCAAGTGATTTGCCCAATTATCAGTTATGTAAATCAAGTGATAGTGCCATCATTGCTGCTCTTACAGAAAATGCCTCTACACAAACAGATGTTTTAAATGATCAGAATTTTTTTTCAGTAATAGAGATAACAAACGCTTTGTATGTACCAAAGCTTGACAGTGGCAAACTGCCCAGCTGCTATGTTACTTTTCATACTGCTAATAATTCACTAATATCCACTCCTTTCATCAGTGAAAATACAGATCCTGTGTGGAATTGGAGTTCTGAAGTCTGGTTACCTGCCATACTTCTTGGAAATGTAAGAGTATTATTATTATGTTTTGTGTTTATAGGATAGTAAATTATGCTACTAGTTTGTAATGATCTACTTTATTGCATAAGTACATGTCTTGAAAACTAGCAATGTTATGAGTGAGATATCAGATTTGTACGACTGTTACAAAATAACATAAACAAGTTGCATATGTAATTTTTTAACAACAGCATTATAAATAAAAAAATAATAATTTTTTGCTTTAAAACTGCTCCATGCAGAATTCAAGGGATCAGTAATTTTTCCATATTAGAGAAGACTCCGCGTTATCCCAACCTTCACTGTTTCATTTTGCCCCACTTTAGCTTTCACCTGACCTCGCTCCGTGATGACCCATGCCATACATTAGCCCAATGTCATGTGTGTATGATATTCAATAATTTTCATTCTATTGGAACTAAAATGATGTTAATAAATAATGCTGAAACTGCGACCTTAGATTCAAGTGAAAACCTTATCTAAAAGAAAATATTTTATTTGGAAATTGCACTCAAAGAACATTAGGGTTGCCACAAGTCATTTGGTAGGCTGTGAAACGATGCAGGAAGTTCTGGCACTGAATCATGACGGTCTTACCTGTTCAGTGTTAGCAACCATACAATTGAAAATGGAATTCAATTGTATTTATTGATAATTCAACCAATCATATTTATTTCAATTACAGTAAAAATGTTAGCATTTCATGCTCTTTACATGAATTACTGTCTGAGCTATAATCGTACAAAATTTCACCTAGATTGGTTTGTATATATCTCCTAGACAATAAGTAGTGTTGGCATCAATTGAACATGGGTAATCTTAAAGACTTAGACATTCAATTTTTGAACTATCTCTTTTACCAGCAGCTTTTTTAAAACTCATAAATTTCATTTTCTCCTAATTATCACATCCAATACCTGCATGATCTGCACAAGTCAAACCTACATTGCGCCAATTGTTGAAATATATACAACTAATTTGCCAAAGTGCTGTTTTGTTACCCAACTTCATAAGAGCAACTCCTGCCTCTTTCACAATGTTCCTGTTGTATATTAGTGGCTTCTCTTTAGATATTTATTAATATAATATAAATTTAAAAATTGTTAATTTCAAATTTTCTAGTTTTAGTTTTTTTTGTGTTGTAGAATGGAAGGTGTTTAATTTTAAAGGTATGGCACAAGAAAGATTATGACAGTGAGCATCCCAATGCTCTTGAGGATTTAGTAATTGGATTTGTAGCCCTTGATCTTCAAGTTCTTGTTTGTGGCTTACCTTGTATAAGTGGTTGGTTCAATATTTGTGACATATCTGGGAGTTGTAAAGGACAAATTCAAGTAAGTATATACTTTTCTTGTTCAGGCAAAAGTGCAGCTTTGGTTTCTTTAAAATTAACTTTTATTCGTGTTTTAGATTTTTGTATATGTAGACATTTTCAAACTCAATAAATTCATTTTTGAATTGATTCACCCCATCAGATCTTTTCCATAATGCTTATGATTTAGTTTTCAGTTTTTATTATGTGATTAGACTAAATATTGAAAATTATTCATAAACCCCAACTATAATAAAAGAAGAAAAAATATTAACTTTTCAATGAGTTTTTTTCCGTTCATGGGTGCCACATGTCAAACAACACAAAGGAGACACTTTATAACAGGATTCTTAGCATTTCAAAGGAGTAAAACAATTTGTGTGTGAAACCAAAGGAAAGGAAAGTTTTGCAATTGTGAAAGAGTACCTCTCCACTTTTCAGAGATATTTTCTTCCCTGAATTATTTTGTATGTAATTTTTTTTAACTTATTTTAGAATGTGGCTATATATTAAACATGCTTCACATGGTTACAAAGATCTAAAGAATAACACAATGCAACCTATATAACATTCATCTCATAGTTACAACCCAATGGAAATTAGAAACTGAACAAAAACAGTTGAACAGAATTATCAGCTTAACAATAAAGAGGTTTACTATTGATTTTCAAAATAACTCTTTAAATAAACAATGCACATCTATTTTGGATGTGGTGTAATCTACTTCATGTTTTTGATAACCTTTCTAAAATATGGATAGAATGGGATAAGATTTCTATTTCCATGTCCAGTGTATAATTAGAATACCTTGTTATTTACAAGTGTCAAGCTGCTAGAGCTGTTTTTGTAGACTGAATTATGTATTGAATGATTATGATTTATGTACTGAATATATTTGATTCTTTAATTTGATTACTTTTCAGATCTCTGTTACTCCACTGGAAAATGTTTCCTTAATAGTGAATAAGACACGCTATAATGTCAAAGAAAAAGAAAACAGAGATTTTACAGAAGCTACAATGACACATTTTCTACCTTCGCCCTTGGACGAATTTGCAGAATCCCTTCATCAAGGACCAGCATTTGCAGAAAAAAATAGCATATTGAGTTCCATTTCTCATGATGTGAAGGATTTTCTCATTCTTTCCTCGGAATCAAGTAAAGAAATATGTCAATCCCCTTGTATTGACAGGAATGAATATTCTCAAGCTTGTTACAAATCAAGTTCAAAAAAAGATTCTGTTTCTTCCAAATTTAGAGAAATCCTAAGTGTATGTGCTAATCAAAGGCAATTTAAAAATCCAGAAAAGGTTAATAACTCACAAGAACAGATAAATTCTGTTTCATCAAACCCTGAAAAACTGTCACCTATTGTATCAAATCAAAATTGTTCCGAATATTTACGTTCCATAAGTTATGAACGCTCATCATCCCTCATGGAAACATTACGGTAAGCCACATGTTTCATTGAAAATGTGCAAAATCCCTTGTACTTTTTTATTGCAAATTGGACAGCTTTTATGATAACAAACAAAAATTGAAGTGAGAATTTGGGGTCAAGTTGTGTACGATCAAGGGTGTATGAAACTTGCATACAAAATTAAACATTAATACTAAGCAAACTGTGACTTAATTTCTTTTGTTTCTTTTACAGACAAAAGTTTCAAGAATTGGATAATATAATACATCAAATGCAAAGTAAAACAGATCCCCTTTCAAAAACAAAACCAGAGATCATTTGTTCAGAAAATAAAATGAACAAATTGCCAGATCATGAGTACTGCAGTGGAAACATCCTGTGTTGTAGGTCCCAGTCAACGAACATTTCTGAAGGGGCTGAGTCAGATAATGATTTCTTGGCTCATAATTGTAAAATCTTTAGTGCTGTGAAAGAGGGAGTGTCAAATAATGAACATCTTAATGGCAATACATCATGGACACTTCCTATGCAAGAAAGTGAAAGTGTGTTCTATAACAGTTCTTCAATCGTCATTCCAGTTGGGTGCAAAAATGCAACTATCAACGAAAGCAAGAGTCAGGGGGAGAGAGAGAAAAATTCTGTGACTAATGTTTCTGAGGAAGTTTTGGTAACTGATTTGATGACAGACTATTTAATGACTGAAGCTCTTCATGATTTAGATCTAGAAAACATATTTAATCCCTTATTATTTCAACACATTCTTGCCAATCATCAGCGTCAAAGATGCTGCCCTCATTGGTTGTCAGAAACTAATGGAAGTTCTTTTCCTTGTGACACTGATCCCTCATCTCAATTACCTTCAAAAAGAAATAAAAGACACTTCTGGAAATCTCAGAAATTAATGAAGATACTCTCAAGAATTCCTGATGAAACTTGCATTGATGAGGGTGAACTAGTCTTTAGCGATATGAACCAAGATAGAAAAAGTACTGATGATACAAAAAATGAAGTGTTACCGTGTCAAGCAATTGAAGATAGAATCCAAATTCATAGTAGAAATGAAAGAGAAGCATTTCTCGCTAATTCGGAATCTTCAGCACCATTTGTACTGGAAAACATATCATTTTCAAAATGTATAAACAAGGAGAACGTGGGCAAAACTTCGCATTCAAATGAAACAAAATATTTACTGAAATCAAATTTAAAGGAAGTGGATTGTCCAAGTAGTATTCAATTTTTAAACATTACAAAACCTTCCTCTCACTCAAGTAAGAAAATTGTTTATGCACCTATAAATAGTCATATGAATTCACATCATAAAATTCGTGATGTTGCATCAAGTGACGATGTCAAAGATGTAGAAGAGTGTAGAAATTGTAATAGTAAATTGAAGAACAAAAACTCAACGAAATATCCTGTCGTTTCCACAATTTCTTCAAAAAAATCATATACATTAGATTCATCAGAGGGAATTGAATTGAGTGATGGTATTAATAAAAGTTCTGATGAGGAACGACAATTTGGAAAAGTGGATCTTAAAAAGGATCAGGTGCAAGAAAAGGTATAGTTGTCTTAGTAATTTACATTTTTGTTCAAGTGAGTGCTTGGGTTCATTCTATTCGTATGTAAATAAAATGTAGTAGGTAAATTTCAGTTAGACTCACTTACCTTGAGTTCTGGTTGCTTGATCTACTCTGTGTTCTTCTGAAGATAAAAATCTTAGTGTAGAATGATACATATTCATATGTGCAATAACTACACTATTAACTTTTCTCAGAGTTGATTTTGTTGCAAAATGTTTTCTACACTGTATTTCTGTCGATTAACAAAATTACATGTTAAACTACATGATGCACCTGTGCGATACAATTACTTTTATAGAACATTCATCGTAATTTGCATTATAAAAACATTATACACTTTCAAAGACTATTTCCTTGTTTGTAATCCATTTATTAGCTTGCTTCAATAGTCAATATTTGATTTTTAAACTTTGGTTATGTTCAAATTATTTTTGAAATGACAATGAAGTAATGACTGAAGGTAATTGAAATTTTGGTAGAGTAGAGCAAGGATCTCTCTTGTGTAATCATGTGGCCACAGACCTCCCTCCCTGCCCCTTATGCGTCAAAACACAAACTTGGTTTCTGAGAGTGCTGAATGTACAGCCTTGGCTTTTCATGTATCTGCCTCTTTGAATAATTGGATATGTGGATGAAGTCATTTTCAGTCAAAAGTATTATATAAAACAATTTCTTTTATTTAGAATGTGACATTATTCCAAAAAAATATTCAATTTGAAATGTATAAATATTTATTTGAATATTGAAGGTACAAATTGTGAGGCTTCATAATGTATTTGGAAATGAACAATAATTAGTCTTGTGAAAGAAATTATGTTGAAATATTTTTAATTTATAGGAAAAAGAATTATTTTCAAATTATTTGGGAGGATATCCAAATATACTTAATGAAAATGAAATAATTTTGATAAGAAATCTTATGAAATTAACGTAAATGGTTGACATGTGTGAGTATAATGGTTTGTTTTTACATCTTTAGAACATTTCTCTAATTTTGAGATTTAGTTTGTTTTTTTGTCTTACGTCTTCTTAGAAGACGTACTCTTCCTACAATAATTTCATTTAGTTTTTCTCCTTGGCTTTATTAAGTCGTATTTGGTGCTCGATGAGTGTAAATATGAGAACAATAGGAAGAGTTTATAGTTTATTTAAGTAGTATACTAAGATTTAAATAAAAATGAACATTTATTCCAAGCTTTCCTGAAGTTTTTTTACCAGCTTAAACCTTTCCAATATTATTTTCTATATTTTTTAAAAAAATCTTAATTTTAATTTCAAAATTACTTAATTTTAAAATCAATTAAGCAAGTACATTAATTTATTTTTGTAAATGTTTCTTAGGTAGTGTATAAAATTAATATTTGCACTCTGAAAGTATTATTTGCAGAAAAACAACAACTAATTATAGCCATGGGTGAACTTTTGCTAAATTCTTATTTCATTTCACTTTCAAAAAATCATAAAGATTTTGAGAGATTCATATATTTGTATTTAACAGTACTCTTTATTTTAACAATTAATTTAACTTCTGAAATAACCACATTCTTTCCAATAAATATTTCCTCATATTACAATTGCATTGATTTTGCAATGTTCAGTAAAATAGGATCTCAAATTCATTCTCAAAATGGTTCTCAGAATTCATTGACCAGAATGTGTACATTGCAGATTAAGATAAAATTCTGTTTGCAGAATGTAATCAGAGATCAGTAATTTTGAGAAATTTTAAAATCACAAATTCTTTTGAGAGTTATCATTATGAAATTATATTGAATTATTCAAGCTTTTGTAATGGAATGCTCCTACACTTGCATACAATTCATGTCAGGTTGGGTAATAAAATCAAAGAAGTAGATGTGATAATAAGCAGAAAACTGGTCATAGAATTTATAATTCAGTTTTGAATTTATTATTTTAGTTCAGTATTTTCTTATTAAATGCTGCAAAACTAAGTCTGTACTCTGTATTATGGGAATTAAATAAAATTTTCTATATGTTTTTCATTAGAAGCTTTACTAGTTAATCAACCAGCAGAAATTTAAAAGATGTCCATGGATTTTCAAATAACAGTTCAGTTTGATAAACAATATAATTGAAATAAATTAAACTACCCATAGGAGACAATTTTATTAGTTAATTCTTAGCTGTAACACATGGTTATTTGGTGTATTCAATATGAAAACAAAATAAATTATCCTTACAAAATTTGACTTTTATGGTGCTCTTACTCTGCATGTTTATTATTTTCATGGAAAGTACTCACTAAAGTATGCTTCTTTTACAAGCATTTTTATAGCTTGTTTTGGGTCCATTTTGATGTAGGCAGCATATGTGAAATCATGAATATGCATAAAAGAACAATCTCGGATTCTCTGTATTAAAAGAAAAAATCCAAAAACTTAATTCCTTATTCCTAGAACTTTTCAAGGACAGCTATGTGGTACAATTAAAATACAGTTTCTTACTCTGAATTCTGCAATTTGCCATGGTTTGTAGTGGTTGAGTTCTTTTTTCTCTTTCATGAAGCAGCTTCGACATAGAAATTCTTTATTATTATAGTGCCAATAATCACCTTCTGGATGCTCTTGGCAAAGAAAGCATTGATCTACATTGTACAGTCCACATTTTATATCAACCGCTGGGTGCAGCTTTTTTCTCCCTCCAAAACTGTGATCAAACTTGATTCGTCGATTTCTTTTTACCCTGACATTGTATGTTCCTGGTCTGTAAATTGAAGTATAGAATTGAGAGAGACAAGTCGTTCGCAGTATTGAAATTAGCAGTATTGTATTTTGGTAGTTTCGCCTTCTTACCCAGGATAAGCATATCGTGGTGAAATTGATCGTTTAGTAGAGGCATTGAATGAACATTTATTTGGGTTCACAGATTTTGGAAATCTTGGCAAAGAGAGATGTGCAGGGCCAGGAGATAATTCTGGCTCTGCCTTCCAACGCACTTCTGTTTGTCCAAGACCTCCATATCCCCAACCACCTCTCTGCAAAGAATTTGGGAGAAGAGTGCTAACCTTATGAACTGGCAACATATTTAAATAAATAATATTTTAATTAACATAATTAGGACTTACATAACATTCAGGTAACTTTGGCCTGTAAGTTGTAGGAGTAACAGTTGAAATATATTCAAGGGTGTATGCATTGGTGAATTTATCTGTGCCCTTGGGAGGATAAACTTCTCTAGGAAGGCCACTTCCAAAAGCAACCTTGGGAGCTTCAATAGCATTCACCACGTACTGAAATGCTGCAAATTTAATTAATGTTTTTCATTTGAAACACATGGTAAAGACGCATCTACGATTATTTATTAATTGAATGTCTCCAAACAATTGGGTGATTGGAGGATACCAAGGTAAAAACATCCATAAATCAGAAGTCAATTATAACATGCTTGTTGCTATTAAAAAAAACTCGTAAGGTTATTTATTATTACAATACGTTTGAAGTATACACTTCAAAATTTTACTATAGACTCACCTCCATACAGATATTTCCCCCCGTGCATCTCTCTTCAACGCGTCCCATTCAAAGAACCCGCTATTTGTTTCTAATAATCATCCCTATAATTCTGCGTTTATCCAAAAGACGTGGGCACATTTCCTCCACAGATTTATCGGTCTCCGCTCCCAGTACTCTCTCTATCTCTCTCTCTCGTGCCTTATAGAATTTCCCGGAGTCGCGTGTTCTGGATATTCCAATAATCTGCCCGTACCTGTTACCTTCTAGCACATCGGGCGGGCCACGGACGATAAATTTGCCATGGTCCCCACCGCTTCGCGTGCGCCGAGTGGAAATTTGATTTCAGGTCTTTTGTGTCGCATCGACAAAACGTGCAATTCTCTACTCAAATTCGGAATACCTCTGATAAATTTTGGTTGTGAGAGAATTTAGGCACTGTCAATGAATGAGAGATTAAGTTGAGTAAACACTCGAGGTCCACATTGTCTCGTCTGTTCAGTGGCAAATAGTGTGTCAATTATGAGCACTCGTCATTTTTCTCTTTAATTTATTTCGAAGTAAGAAATCAAGTATTCCCCCGTTTACGGAATTTTTGCAGAACACCTGCGTCGCTTCGCATTTCCCGTGTCTCCGTTCTGCCCCCCTTATCTGAACTATTTTACAATTTGGACCTTCGATTACTCTGAGTGATGTACATTATCGGAATGATGCTCAATCCTCCTCGGTGAATTTCATCACTCTTGTCGAGATATTCGCGAAAAACTGAGAGAGGGCGCTCTTTAAAATATTTCTTTAAGGAGTGAGAAAGAGGAATGGGGTATTTTAGGAACTCTTACGTACGTACTTTTCTTTTGAAGGCAAAGAGAACAAAATGCCATTAATATTGTAATAAAATTAGGCATAAAACTAACATTCTCCATATAATAGAAAATAATTATCTAACAAATGTCTACATACACCCCACAAAATATCCGGTATTTTAGTGAAAATCCCGTTGAAATCAGTTTAGTCGATTTATAAGTGATCCTGGACAGAGATGACAACTGTAAAAACAAATAGATGGGTTTTGGTATATTTACATAAAAAAAGCTTTGATATGTTTTATAAACTGGGGTAACTATTCTCCAGATTGGCCTTTATATCACGTACGTAACCACATAAGCTTCTAAAAAGAGAGTTTTTTGTATTCACAGACATTTTAATTTTACTAATTTGAATAAACTTCGGATTTACGAGTGAATGAAACAAAAAGATCCCGTTTATGTCATACGTAGACATCTATTGGTCATCGTCATTGTTATTCATTGATTAAATGAATTAGATAAGAATGAAATATGGCTTCACTAACAATAATATTAGGGAAAAATCGAATTTACCATCAGGATCTTGCAGAGACATTGTGAGTTCCAAACATTACTTTTTTTAAACTTAAAAAATATATGCTTATTCGTTCCCCCAAAAAGACCGTCTCCACAGAAACGAGAAGTGGGTATGTCGATAATATGCTAGAAGCTAAAACAATAATGGAGTACTTCTCTAGAATTAGCTACGTACGGGCACAATGCTTTAACTATTATATACGTCAGAAAGCTTGAATAATTTTAAATTTGTATTACTAAGCGTTGTATACTTAAAAGAAACACAAGGTGAAAAGTATAAAATACAACAAATATTATTTTCCAAATCCAACAGAATAAGCCTTTTTTTTGTGTGTGTGTGTGCATCGAATCACAATATCCAGAGATGTAAATGCAACCCGGATTCGTCGTAGAGTGAACTTATACACTTTTGCTTCACCTTCCAGCTGGAGGGGTCTCTCTTCTTTCGCCTGGTTACTCGCGCGTGGCAACGGAGCTGGTGACTGCTTCTTTCTGATACCCCGTGACGCCGCCTGGGGCTCTTCAAGTGCCTCGCTAGGCTGACACTTCACTGTTAATTTGTTTATATTATTATTTGGAAAATATAGTTACCACCAACAGTACATTGCATATTAAATTGAATCGCCCCATCTCGCGCATGTGAATTTACCTAGTAGCAGTGATAGGTCTGAGGGGGAGGGGTGCATAACTCTCCCCAAAGTTACCTATGTAATGCTGTGGAAAATCGATATTTCAACGTAATCTCACGTTTTGGGCATTCCTGATCAAAAAAGTTTCTTTTCAAAACGTTCGCCCATCTGTGAACAATAGTAGCGCCTAAACTATTAGTAGGATTTTCGTCAAAATGAATATTCCTTGGTTGATCTGGCCCGTCTCGAAGCTCTGCGATTTAGAAAAGATTTTTTTTTGAAGTTAGGGGGCACTTTACGAGAAACCCTTGGGACATTGACAAATTGTTTTCAAAAAAGGCTCCAATTTTTTCGTGTAGGAATAGGGTGAAACAGTATTCTCGTATCAAGATAGAAAGTCCGAATTGTACTGTTAACCACAAATTTTCGAAAATTACAAAAATTAAAAAGTTTCGGCATTTTTCTACAACTGCATTATTGAAGAATAATATTTTTTCAAATGTAACTAGTTCTCCAAATTTAGTTCTTAATTAAATTATACGAATGTATTTTTTTAAACCCCTCGCGTTAATGTTATACTATGGTTGTTCTTTTCAGTACTGCATTTTGTTCAAGTGCTTAAAATGATTTCTGATGGAAGTTTATCGAAACTTTCTGTGAAAATGCTCATAATTCCACATTTTCAAAAACGCTAACAACGATACTTTCTCAGAAACGACTCCAAATTTTGCAGCGAAAATTTGCATGTATAGTACTTCGATTTATTTACAGTGTCCTTTGACAGATCATCAGCTGTTATGGTGTCATCCAATCGGGAGCTTTACGTCATTACGGCGACGAACAAGCTTCCGATTGGATGACATCGTAACGGCTGATGAACTGCCAAAGACACTGTAAATAAAGCGAAGTATAGAACGTAGCTTTACCCTTCTGTTGTATTATTCCAGGCAAATTGCCCACTTATAGGGGACAGAAAATATGGAAAAAAACGTGTTTTATATGAAACATTTTCCTCAATATAAATTTTACCCGAAAGCGTTAATTGATGTGTGCTAAATATCATTTTCTGCAAGATAGTTAATTTTGAGAAAATTGGGACGTCCAATGAGAGAGGGAGCTAACACACATTTTTAAAAATTACATATTTTATATCCTCCTTTTATCTTTTTTTATTCCGTAAGTTTCATAATTGTATCATAATCCATTCAGCTATTATATTGATTTTTGAAACAGATGTCGCGCGTATTTTCTAATATTTTAGTGAGAGAGGGAGCTGAGCCACATTGAGTGTTGTTGATAATATCAACACTATAGAGCGGTTTTTATAAGAATGGGACTTTATGTCTGCTAGTACTGGCAACACAAATGAAGGTTCTGTGGTCGTTATGTCCTTGAGCCTATTAGACTCTCCTTCCTCCATTCGTTCGTTTGGAGTTGGCTAACTTGTGAATGTCTTCAACGCTTCCTTTTGTGATGTTCTCATCCAACGAAAATATAATACGCCAAAATTAGGAAGTGCAGAGCAATGTGCTCTTCTGTAAAAAATATTTTTTTTATAAAAATTACATTGCATTTGGTTTATACGCTATGAGTATTATGTTTGTTTTAAAATCGAGTCATGAATGTGAGATGCGTACTGGTGACGATGCGTGTCTCCAGCTTTGTAAGGTGACGAGCTGTGTTCGAGAGCGTTTCGTGGTTCCGTGATTTGCTTTTTATATTTATTATATAAAAATAAAGTAAAATATAGCGTAAATGTTTTAATTAGTGAGAGTGAATACAAAGAATGTGCTTATTATTCATCCAAGAAATAAGTGATGAAAATAGACATACTAAATAGGTTAAGGAATGCATTGTTTATCCGAATAATACCAGCTAAATGCCGGAGCAGTGGCAACAAACGGGCGACGGACAGCGCACGTTTGCTTCCCTAACCTTGTACCATCCTCTCTTACCTACGCTTAAAGCACGATTATTTATATCGGGAGACAAGCCAGCAGCTTGGAGCGTGTTCTGGCTCGGACTGTGCTCCACTGGAGGAGATACGTGGAAAGGCAAAGCCGACGTGTAGATTGGCGCCGGATTTCACGTTCCAACTGAGGAATATCATCCGGAATATAACATGCAGTACACTTATGGGACTAATGACTATAGTAGTTGACGCGCCCGAAAACATTGCATTTCGTCTGCATTCATTTCAATAGTCAGGTGCAGCAATCATTTCTTACTTTGACAAATGAAACAAACAGGAATACATTGGAAAGTAAGTAACAGTAGCAAACAAATTAATCCGAACACACGCTTTCCTTTAGAACATTGTATTTTCACACTGGAAAACATACCAAACGTAAACTTTTCGTAATAATGTTTATGTCCTTTATTGTTAAGTTCATTTATTCTCTTAGGCATTGGCCCTAATAAAGTTAAACATTTATCTGAATTCTTCGTCCGAAACCAGATACTGACAAGTGACTTAAGAAGGTTTCTTTTAAAAAAAAACTAAAGCTTTCTTTATGTGTGACTCGGTGCGATGGTCTGTTGGAAGATCAACCCCGTGTTCTTTTCAACTAGTTGGTACGATTCTTCTCTCCAATATTTTTAATTTATTGATCAGTTTTCATCATTCACCCCAACAATGAAGATAGCTCATCAACGAGTCGTTGGAATTTCATAACAAGAGAGCTGCGACCAAAAGAATCTTACCAAATAATGAAGATATTACGATAATTCTCTGTGTTCGGATTAATTTGTTTTTACTATAATTATTTTTTCTATACGTCTTTATATTTTTCTTCAAACTATTTGTAATTATTAAACACAAACTTCATGCACTGATGCTCTTAAAATAGCCAACACATGCGCTTATACATGTGCTTAGAATATGCGTGAAACAAAACTGTATTTAGCAACAGTTAACATTTCTTTATAAGTAATCTTCATTTTACACTAGTACAAAACAGTTCATGCTCAGGAATAAAGTTATATGTAGTCAGGGCCGGATTTAGATGAAAAGAAGCCTAGGCTATTCCACGTATGCGACCATTTTACCACCCATTTTAAGTTTGTAAATTCCATGTGAATTATTAAATAAATTGCATGTTATGTATATTATATTAAATGAAACGTGATAGGTATTCCTAACGCAACTTTTCTTGAACGATAGATTGAAAAAAATGCGGGAAGATTCAGGGCATTAGTTA